ATAAAAGAGAAGAAAGTAAGGCCATTTGCAGCAACCTGGATGGACCTAGAAATTGATATTGAGTGAAGTAAATCAGACAAAGAAAGACAAATATCATATGATATGGCTTATATGTAGAATCTAAAAAAGGAGGTGCTGTTTTTCAGATGTTAAGTCATGCCTGACTCCTTGTGACCCAATGGACTGCAGCACACCAGGCTCCCCTTCTCCCAGTCCTTCACTATCTCCCAGAGTTTGCTCAGATTCATGTCCATTGCGTCAGTGATGCTCTCTAACCATTTCATTCTCTGCTACCCCTTTTCCATTTGCCCTCAATCTTTCCCAGCACCAAGGTCTTTTCCAGTGAGTTAGCTCTTCCCATCAGGTGGCCAAACGCACTGGGAGGGATAAACTGGGAGACTGGGACTGATGTATACACACTGCTATATATAAAACAGGTAATAAGAACCTGCTCCACAGCCTAGGGAACTCCACTCAATACTCTGTAACGGCTTATGTGGAAACAAATCTTTAAAAACAGAGTGGCTATATGTGTATGTATAACTGATTCACATTACTATATACCTAAAATTAACACAACACCATAAATTTTTAAAAATTTTAAAGAAAAAAACAAAAATGCGGCACATACATACAATGCGATAGTACACTACACACCCCTTAAAAAGAATGTCACATGTCACTATGTAGGTGAACCCTGAGGACATCGTGCTAAGCTAATCAAAAATGGGCAAGCACATATGATTCTATTTATATGCACAGTGTCTAAAGCAGACAAATTCATGAAAACATAAAGCAGAAAGGTGTCTGCCAAGGGCGAGGGGTGAAGTAGGTTGGACAGACTAGTGTTTAAAGGGCATAGAGTCTCAGCGTTGCAAGATGAAAAGTTCCAGATATTTCCTGCACAACAATGTGAATATATTTAACACAGCTGAACTGAACCCTTAAATCTCTACCCTGCATAAGTAACAAAACCACCTTCCCTTTGAACATCAGTGATGAAAGAAAACAGGAAAAGAAAAGATGCACTTAAAAGATTATATGCTGATAATCTCAAAAGCCAACCTCTCCTGGGCAAATCATTTCTATAGCAATTACAGCAATCTGACTTGCCCCTTCTCCACTCACTACCCTTAGTTCCACCCCCCAAAAAAGTCCTTATTAGAGTTTGCAACTGCCTGAGGGTTTAGGAATTGTTGCAATTTGATATATCTGAAGATATTTCTGTCTCCCATGTGACTTTATTCTTCCAAAGAAAATATATTTTAGTTATCTCCCCCAACCTACTTCCTGATGCATGGAAAAACAGTCTCCATTTAAGTAAATGAGAAAAGGATCATAAAACACCACTGAGAGCTTTATGTATGCAGTTTTATATTTACTGAAAATCTTGTTGAATCACTTTCAGGAAAACTATGAAAATGCTTTTAGTTTTTTGAGGGGTTCAAAATAAAGGGAAAAAAATCACCAGCATTAAACAAAATTATGTTTAAATTAATTACATACTGTACCCTAAACAGCCCTGATGATTTTCACATTTTGGAAAAGCGTGACTTTAGGGGAGCTGGACTTCCTGGCCTGTGTGACCTGTTTCCTGGGAATTCTCAGCAGCAGACAAGGAGGCAGCAAGTGCTGCCAAAATTAAATCAGACACTAGCTCAGAAGGCCTTGGAACGAATCGCCCATCAATGAATGTATCATAGCTATTCTATTCCAGAGCAAGTATAATTGATAAAACTATTTCTCCATTAGATTCCTAAGAAAATAACCTCAACATTTCATAGTAAATTTTCAAAGCAATAAATCTACAACAGCTTACCATGTTCTGAAAGCCTGAAACACACACACCAGGATGGTGACAAGTTAAAGAAACAAACAAAAGGAAAATAACAAGCAAACGAAACTGACAAGGATGTGGAGAAACTGGAAACCTCCCAGCCAGCTGATGAGAATGTAAAATGGTGAAGTCGCTGCAGAAAGCAATTTGGCAGCTCCTCAAAAAGCTGAACAGGGGCTTCCCAGGTGGCTCAGCGGTAAGAGCCCACCTGCAATGCAGGAGACTTGGCAAGGGATGCGAGTATGATCTCTGGGTTGGGAAGACCCCCTGGAGAAGGGAATGGCTACCCACTTCAGTATTCTTGCCTGGAGAATCCCATGGACAGAGGAGCCTGGTGGGCTACAGTCCACGGGGTCACAAAGCATCAGACATGACTGAGCACAGCACACAGCCTGCACAACAATGAAGACCCAGCACAGACAAAATTAAATAAGTAAAAATAGGGGGGGAAAGTTAACTAGTTATTATACAACCCAGAAATTCTCCTCCTAGGTATATACCCATGGAGTCTGTCCACGGAATTCTCCAGGCAAGAATACTGGAGTGGGTTGCCATTCCCTTCTCCAGGGGATCTTCCTGACTCAGGGATTGAACCTGGATCTCCTGCATTGCAGGCAGATTCTTTACCACCATCTGAGCTACCAGGGAAGCCCAGGTATATACCCAAGAGAAATGAAAACACATGTCTACACAAAAATTGTCCACAAAAGCTCACAGCAGAATTGTTCTTCACAGTCAAAAAAGTGGCAAGAACCCAAATGTCCAAGTGATTAATTAATAAAAGTGGTCTATCCATATGATGGAATATTATTCACTAATAAAAAGAAATGAAGGAACTTCCCTGGTGGGCCAGTGGCTAAGACTTGTACTCCCAATGCAGGGGGCCTGGGTTCACTCCCTGCTCAGAGAACTAGGTCCCACACGCCACAAGTAAAGGTCCTGCATGCCACAACTAGGACCCAGTGCAGCCAAACAAATAGATATTTTTAAAAGAAAGAAAGAAATTAAGTATGGACACACTATAAAAACATTACATGCCCAGAACAGGCATACCCATAGAGGAAGAAGGTAACTTAGCAGTTACTGGGGGGCTAGAAGGAGGGAGGAAGGGGTGAGGAGTAACAGTCCACAGGCCCACATTCCTTCTTGGGGTGATTAAAACGTTCTGGAATTAGAGAGTTTGCACAGCATTAGTATGCTTGCACAACACTGTGCGTATATGAAAAACCACTGACCTGTACACTTTTAAAATGATTAAAATGTGTGTGCTTTATGTTATGTGAATCTATCCCATTTAAAAGAAATAGATGAAATTAAATATTAACATTTCATCTACATATAGCCGAACTGTCATTTCAAGATGTAATCAACCTAACAGTATTAGTGAGATATTTTACTCTTTTTCTTTTACGCTAACACACTTTTCCGCTTAAAGTGCATCTCAGGTGGGACTTCTCAGGGCTCAGCAGCCACCTGTCCGTGGAGACAGCACAGCCCCTGAGCAGTAAGATGCGCTGGCACCAGGTAAGTGCCAGCCAGTTATTATTTATTTACGGCATCTTGACAGGACTACACACTCACACCAGCACCATTCACCACCACAATAGACAAGCTGCCGCCCAGACACTTCAAGCTCATGGTGCCTGTGGGCCCCCTGAACACACGTGTTCTCAGAGAAACCACGGCACAAGCGGTGAGGTGACACGTCCAGTCCAAAACCCTACAGCTGACGTAAGCCACTGTTGTGATTTAAAGCATCGCGTGCAGAAATGTGAACACTGGCTGAACAGCTGATACTAAGAAATGATTGGGACTTTTGGTTAGGGTAGTTACGAGAAAGAGATGACCCCACATTTTAGAGATACACCCTGAAACAAGAACGATTCCAACAGCATGAGGTATGGTCACTGAATCTTGATGTTGGACACTGAGAGTCCATTAGATCACTCTACTTTTCATGTTGAAACTTTCTATGATTAGTCCACACACGGTACACACTAATATTAGTCACCAAGTCATATCCAACTCTTTAGGACCTGGTGGACTGCTGAAGGCCAGGCTTCCCTGTTCTTCACTATCTCCCGTATTCGCTCAAACTCATGTCCATTGAGTCGGTGATGCTACCTAACCATCTCATCCTCTGTCACCCCCTTCTCCTGCCTGCAATCATTCCCAGTATCAGGGTCTTTTCCAATGAGGTGGCTCTTCTCATCAGGTGGCCAAAGTATTGGAGTTTCAGCTTCGGCATCAGCCCTTCTTGTGGCATGGGCCAATAATTAAAACTGAAAAGCAGACTTAAGAACAAATCCTTTTTTAAACTTTTTAAGAGACGCAGCGGGCGGGGTGGAGGACGGAGGCTGTGGTGTCCACTGCAACGGTCGTGGCCGCGTGCGAGAAGGTGGCTGTGTAGGCAACTTGAACACTGGCTGAACAGCTGATACTAAGAAATGATTGGGACTTTTGGTTAGGGTAGTTACGAGAAAGAGATGACCCCACATTTTAGAGATACACCCTGAAACAAGAACGATTCCAACAGCATGAGGTATGGTCACTGAATCTTGATGTTGGACACTGAGAGTCCATTAGATCACTCTACTTTTCATGTTGAAACTTTCTATGATTAGTCCACACACGGTACACACTAATATTAGTCACCAAGTCATATCCAACTCTTTAGGACCTGGTGGACTGCTGAAGGCCAGGCTTCCCTGTTCTTCACTATCTCCCGTATTCGCTCAAACTCATGTCCATTGAGTCGGTGATGCTACCTAACCATCTCATCCTCTGTCACCCCCTTCTCCTGCCTGCAATCATTCCCAGTATCAGGGTCTTTTCCAATGAGGTGGCTCTTCTCATCAGGTGGCCAAAGTATTGGAGTTTCAGCTTCGGCATCAGCCCTTCTTGTGGCATGGGCCAATAATTAAAACTGAAAAGCAAACTTAAGAACAAATCCTTTTTTAAACTTTTTGAGAGACGCAGCGGGCGGGGTGGAGGACGGAGGCTGTGGTGTCCACTGCAACGGTCGTGGCCGCGTGCGAGAAGGTGGCTGTGTAGGCAACTTGGGCTCTGTGGAGGCTGGCGGTGGTGGCCGGGCCACGGCGGGAAACCGTCTGTGTTGGGCTCCCTGAGGTGCGCTCCCTGCCGTCTCGGGGAGCCGTGACCCATGGGCTTGCTGAGCAGCCAGGTGCTGCACCACCCAGGGCGAGCCCGAGCCCAGCAGGAGCCGGCTTCTGGGGCTGGGGGCTCCACCCGGAGGCAGGAGATGGTGGCGACGCGCCCGGCCATGGCTTCTGTTACTGTCCGGGCAATTACAAGCGCAAGCGGAACAGTGGGGCCTTCTGCTACGGTAACCCCGATTCCGAGACCAACGAGGATGAGGAGGAAGGGGACGAGCAGCAGCGGCTCCTCAATACCCCTTGAAGGAAAAAACTGAAGAGTACATCCAAATATATTTATCAAACATTATTTTTAAATGGTGAAAACAGTGACATTAATATTTGTGCTCTAGGAGAAGAGGGGAGCTTACACAAAATGTATTTATGTCAATCTGGCTACTTTTCTAGTGTATTCAGTGGTTCTTGGAAAGAATCCAGCATGAATACCACTGAACTGGAGATTCCTGACCAGAATATTGATATAGAAGCACTTCAGGTGGCATTTGGGTCATTGTATCGAGATGATGTCTTAATAAAGTCAAGTCAAGTCATTGCCCTTTTGGCAGCAGCTTGTATGCTGCAATTGGATGGTTTAATACAGCAGTGTGGTGAGACAATGAAGGAGACAATGTGAAAACTGTGTGTGGCTATTACACATCAGCAGGGACCTATGGATTAGACTCTGTAAAGAAAAAGTGCCTTGAGTGGCTTCTAAACAATTTGACGACTCACCAGAATGTTGAACTTTTTAAAGAACTCAGTATAAATGTCATGAAACAACTCACTGGTTCATCTAACTTGTTTGTGATGCAAATGGAGATGGATGTATACACAGCCCTTAAAAAGTGGATGTTCCTTCAACTTGTGCCTTCTTGGAATGGATCTTTAAAACAGCTTTTGACTGAAACAGATGTCTGGTTTTCTAAGAGGAGAAAAGATTTTGAAGGTATGACCTTCCTTGAAGCTGAGCAAGGAAAACCATTTGTGTCAGTATTCAGACATTTAAGGTTACAGTATATTATCAGTGATTTGGCCTCCGCAAGAATTATTGAACAAGATTCTCTAGTACCTTCAGAATGGCTATCTTCTGTGTATAAACAGCAGTGGCTGGCTATGCTCCGAGCAGAACAAGACAGTGAGGTGGGGCCTCAAGAAATTAATAAAGAACTAGAGGGAAACAGCATGAGGTGTGGTAGAAAGCTTGCCAAAGATGGTGAATACCGCTGGCGGTGGACAGGTTTTAACTTCAGCTTTGACCTGCTTGTAACTTACACCAATCGATACATCATTTTCAAACGCAATACACTTAATCAGCCATGTAGTGGATCTGTCAGTTTACAGCCTCGAAGGAGCATAGCATTTAGATTACGTTTGGCCTCTTTTGATAGCAGTGGAAAACTAATATGCAGTAGAACAACTGGCTATCAAATACTTATACTTGAAAAGGACCAGAAGTGTAACTAAGACAAGAAAGAAGGAAACACAATTTGATTTGAGGAGCAGGGAAAAGTTGACAGTACGGAAATAATTATTCATCTTGAACATGATCTTCAAAAAGTTATCACTCTTAATTGTTTTCTCCATTGTGTTCATTATTGCATTTATTTATACATTAATAACAGATACCTTAAAAAAAATCTGCTAAGTTTCCACAGATCCTGGATATTAAGAGAAGCTAATCTGCTAGCACAGTGGGTTTCTAAAATGACAGACATCTACAGTGTTCCTAAAATTATCTCTAAGACCATTTGCTTCTTCATCAATCACATGCATGTATAAGTTTCAACACGTCATGATGCAAAAGTAAACCAGTTTCAAAAAATAAAATGAGTGCTGTTAAAAATAAAAAAAATTTAAAAAAAAACCTTTTAAGTACAAGACTGGTTTTAGCTGTAAAGAAAGATGAGTCAGACGATGCTGAGATGAAGTTAACTTTTTTTTTTTTGCCACACCTCACAGCTTGCAGGATCTCAGTTCTCTGACCAGGGATCGAACCCAGGCCATCACAGTGAAAGTTCCTAGTCCTAACTACTGGACCATCAGGGAATCCTGGAACTCTCATTTTGTGAGTGGAATCTAGGGAGGTTCAAGACCTTTTAGAGGTATAGATACTTCCTGTTTGTTCTGTGGCCCTCTGTATCCGAGGGTGCCACACCCTCAACTGGTTGAACCCAGGATGTGAGGGCTGGCTGCATGCAGCCACTTGATACACACAGCCTGAGCACTGTGAAGATTGGCATCCACAGGGCGTGCAGGAACCAAACCCCTGTGGACACCAAGGGATGAATCAAATTTCAGTTCCCCAACTGAGTTGTCTTATCACAGAATATACAGCTCTGCCAACAATTTATCAACTATCATAAGGGTTTCTGAGGTGCATAAAGGGATAAAAGAGAGGAATGAGAAAGAAATAAGTAGAGAGATCGAGAGCAACAGAAAGAAGATAGGGGAGGGTGGTAATTTTTTTTGAAGAAAATAAAAAGACGTGGAAGGAGATGGAAGGTTCTATGGATTCTGGTTTCAGGTCTGCTACAAATTTGCTTTATCTCTGGACACCTCACGTGACTTCTCCTGGCCCCAGCTTCCACGACTGGAACCTACCAGATGGACCTGCGACATTTAATGGGGGCACACCATGTGCATGTGAAGGTGGGGCAATTCTTTATTTCACAGGGTCTCCCCACGGCAGCATCCTCTCCACCACAGGCCTCTGCCGAAAACCACAGCCCAGAGAGGCTCCAGGACAGCAGGCAGGAAGCAAGCACCAGGAGGAGGACGCACTGCCCCGTGAGCGAGGCATGAAGAGAAGCTGCCCAGAGAAACTGCTGACTAACTAAGGGAGATGGACACTCATCCACAGCTCACGCGCATCCAGAGGTGGCAGGGCCACTGAAGGGCCCCAGGACTCAGCACGCCCGATCCGCCTGTGCAACGTGGGGTCTGCACACTGCTGCCCCGGCTCCCCCAGCAGTGGGGAGAAGGCCAAGCAGGCCCCCCCAAAAAGACATGAGGGAGATGGGGAGAGGTGGGCAGGGGCAGGTGGGGAGCAGAAGGCCGCTGAGTCCAGACCACAGGGAGGAGCCGAGAGACAGACGGCACAAGTTAAGGCCAAGACCTACGCTTGGGGGTTTCAGAGACCCAGGTCACTACACAGTGTGAGAACTTGGGTTATTCAAGGTCCAGAAATGGTTTAGGGGCACATGAGGAAGGGATAAGTGAGTGTACACGTGTGCGTGTGGGAGACGTGGTGTAAGAATGTGAGTGTGTTGAGTGAAACAGCCAGACACCAGGGCACAAACACCGTGTGATCCTGCTGAGTGGGCGCTGTGAGCAGCCGCGTCCACAGATACAGAAGGCAGAGCCACAGATGCCACAGTGGGGAGCGGGGACAGTCAGTGCTTCCCACGGACAGAACCTCAGGCGGGCAGATGAGAGCGCTCCGCAGGGGATGCTGGTGACAGTAGCGTGATGATGAGAACGCACTTGATGCCAGTGACCTGCACGCTGAAAAATCGTTAAAACGGTTGTTCTTAGATTAAGTACATGGCAACCCACCCCAGTATCCTGCCTGGGAAATCCCATGGACAGAGGAGCCTGGCAGGCTACAGTCCACAGGGGTCCAAAGAGCTGGACAAGACTGAGCAATGAACACTTTCACTTTTTCTTTCAAAGCAGGACAAATGGCTAGGCTTCTCAACATTTGTTGCCTTCTTTTCAAGAGACAGAATCTTCCACAGGAGGCAACTCATAGAAACCATCGCCGCTATGACTGAAGGGAGCAGCCATCACCTCAGGTCCAAACAGCACACAGGAACAGGAGCCACGCGGCCTGGGGCTCTCACCACCCAATGAAACCTCTCCTACGCATCACTTATGACAGGAAAGTCCTAGAAACGCAGGATATCTTCATGCCACATCCCTCAAATAATGCTTCCCAGAGCCTCCTCAGGCCCCACATCACCCAGTAACAGAGGATAAACCTGCGGGTCAGAGGCCACCTCGATGGGGACACAAGTCACACAGGCGAGTGACAACACAGGGCCAAGGCACGTGGACCGGGACCTGGCCTCCCTCCACGTCCTACTGCCTTCTCTATTGAAGCGTTTCTCTTCCTGGACACAGAACAGCTCACGTGTCGCCAAGCCCCCTCATCCTTCTTTCCACTTCACTTCTCTATTAGGTCAGGACTGACACAGCAAGTGTATTTCCACCACAAAGGAAAGAAACGTTACTCAAACGATTTTCTTTGCACTATAGTGGTGTTAATCGCTCGAGTTATGTCTACTCTGAGACTTCATGGACTGTAGCCTGCCAGGCTCCTCTGTCCACAGAATTCTCCAGGCAAGAAAACCGGAGTGGGTAGTCATTCCCTTCTCCAGGGGATCATCCAGTGTCAGTTTACACATATTAACAAATCAGTGAAAAATCTCAACATGTCATAGCAGATACATGACTGTAAGAAACCAACCTAGAAAGAATGTCATAGACAAAACTATGGAAAAGGAAACCACTTCTGACTCTCACTTTCGGCAAGTGAAAAGGGACACAATGGCAGGAAGCTCAACCTTCCCTGAACAAAGGGCTACTCGGTAATTCAGGGCCTTCCAGACTCTTCCTCCAACCATCTCAGATGTTAGGAAATTAGTACCTCAACTGCCTTTAGGACCACCACGTGGCTATGGGGCAACAACTAGTCAGGAGGCCACCCAAGGTTCTGGTAAGTCTTCAGACTCACAAACATTAACTGGCTTTCTGACAACAAAATAAAAGAATGAATTGAGCCACTCTGTGCCATTCTTAATGGAGTCGACACAGATCTTTACAACAGAATCTCTGTTAATTTTTGCCAAAACTAACTAAAACCTGAGGCTCTGTTTCCAGTGAGGCCCCTTAAAAGTTTGTTTTGTATGTACAAATATATACGTCTGTACAAAGAAAACAGTATTTCACTGGGTGCTTGTGTGAGGATGATCTGTACCCAGACAAATGTGGTGGTTTAAAAATAACCCCTCAAGTTCCTGACACTGCCCCCCAGAATGGAGTCTAACTTCTCCCCCTTCTACCTGGTCTGACCGTAGTGACTTGCTCCTAATGAATGTACCAGAAGTGACCCTGAGCACTTCTGAGGCCTGGCCAGTGAAAGGTGCAGGGGGTTGATTAGTGTAACCCTGAATTTATGTTCACCCAGAACATGGCAATGAACCTATTAACAACCTCATTTAGAATCAGGGTCTGAACGGATGTGAGTTGTAATAATGTCGGGGTGAGCGGGGGTGGGCCCCAAATCAGAAAGACTAAAGGGAAGAGGTGAAGAGACACAGACAGACACAGAGGGAAGATGGAGGCAGAGACTGGAGTAGTGTGTCTGCAGGTCAGGAGAGGCCAAAATCTGCCAGCAAACACAAGAAGCTACAAGCGCCAAGGCTCCCAAGAGCCTTTGACGGAGCATGGCCCAGCTGACACCCTGATTTTGGACCCGAAGCCTCCAGAACAATGAAGGAACACATTTTCATTTTAAGGAATCCAGTTCGTGGTATCTGTCTTGGCAGCTCTGGGAAACTCCTGCAAAAGATTATAGCTTCCTCTCCTTCATTGTTGAGATCCTCACCCGGGAAGCCCAGCCTCCATGCTTCAAGGAAGCCCCAAGCCACGTGGAAAGTCTCGTGTAGGTGCCGTGGCCTCACAAGACCCCTCTGAAGTCTCAGTTCCCTGACCGCGACACATGAGTGAAGGAACGTTCAGGCGGCTCCACCCCAAGCCTTCAAAGTACCCCAGATGAGTGTGGAGTAGACCAAGCTGTTCCCTCTAGGCCCTCCCAAAGGGCAGGCTGTGAACAAAATAAATGTCTGTCATGGTTTTAAACCACTGTGTTTGGGGGCAATTTGTTATCCAACAATAAATAACAGGACAACACATACACGTAAATCCTGTTCACCCGACTCAAACACAGATCTTCAAAGCATGGTCCCTTATGCCAATCAGATGTCAAGGCATTCTACAAAGGTCCCTTCAGCAAATATTTATGAAGAATCCTCTTATCTGGAAGTACACCCCTGCCTTCCTTCCTAGGGGAAGGTCACCTCAACATCCCTAAGATAACAATGCAGAATGAGCCAAGAGTTCCTGGGTCCCTTTAAATGGTATGCAAAAACTAGGAGTGTTCAAACACGTTTACCATTTAAAGAAGCCGCCTTATCTACAATGTTCACGACACAATACATTAATAAAAGTTTGAACACAATCATAATTTATAAATGCTACAAATAGATGGGGAAATGGTGGAAACGGTGAGGGACTTTATTTTTGGGGGTTTCAAAATCACTGCAGATGGTGACTGCAGCCATGAAATTAAAAGACGCTTACTCCTGGAAAGAAAAGTTATGACCAACCTAGACAGCAGAGACATTATTTTGCCAACAAAGGTCCGTCTAGTCAAAGCTATGGTTTTTCCAGTACTCATATATGGATGTGAGAGTTGGACTATAAAGAAGGCTGAGCGCCAAAGAATTGATGCTTTTGAACTGTGGTGTTGGAGAAGACTCTTGAGAGTCCCTTGGACTGTAAGGAAATCCAACCAGTCCATCCTAAAGGAAATCAGTCCTGAATATTCATTGGAAGGACGTATATTGAAGCTGAAACTCCAATACTTTGGCCGCCTGATGCAAAGAACTGACTCATGTGAAGAGACCCTGATGTTGGGAGGGATTGAAGGAGGAAAGAGAAGGGATAACAGAGGATGAGATGGTTGGATGGCATCACCAACTCAACAGACATGAGTCTGAGTAGGCTCTGGGAGTTGGTAATGGACAGGGAGGCTTGGCATGCTGCAGTCCATGGGGTCGCAAAGAGTCGGACA